CCCCCCAAATCTGGGTTAGCCCGCTGTCCTTAAAAGCGACCAATTATGACCGTCAAGACGCTCGATGAGGATTTTGATGATGATGATGATGATGATGATGATGATGATGATGATGATGATGATGATGATGATGATGATGATGATGATGATGATGATTCAGGTGACTATTTCTATCCTAATTGCCCGCCTAATTTAGGGATTAAAAATGATTGGGTGGTTAATGAAACACAAAATTTCAAGTCATTTCGAAAGTGCACCTGGCCTTTAAAGGGAATTAATTATTCTCCTCTTGTTCTGGAATATCAGAAAGATGCAAATGAGGTTTAGTTTAAGTAAACGTTTTACTGCACTTGCAACACAATAAAGTCATATAAGTGCTGAAGATTAGAGGTGTTACAAGAACGTAGCAAACACAATTACAGAGGAGAGATAAGGTTATAGATGTTTGATAGAGAAGAAGGAGCAAACAACTCCAGAGCACTCGCAACACAACACCCATGACAAATGTGTAAAAAATAAGAACCAGAAGAAGTTGTCTTTAGTGTTTATTGAGTGATTTCTTACATGAAACGTATAAGATTATATTGTAAGCCTTTATAAAGCTTTTAAACATACAGGAACAGAATATCACTATAAGATCTTAATAAGTATCAAAATGAGTCTGTCCTTAGGGCAATTTCACAACATTACACACAGCACATCAATAAGAAAGGAAAATAATTTTCTAACCTTGATTGATAGCGCTCTCAAATACATAAACAAAACCATTCATAAGTAACACAAGCAAGCATAACAACAGTCCAATTTGTATGAAACCGGCTGTGAAGGAAGGAATAAAACAAAGTAGAAATGGTATTGTATGTGTTTTTTACGTCCCCATCGACAGATTTAGACCAAGTAGGAGGTCCCTCTGACACTCTCTGTTCGGGCCAAACGGCTTGGATTTAATTTTAGAAACTAAAAACAATATTTCATGCTCTGGTATTCCCGCTCTGTGTTCACGCACACCGGTAACAAACAGACCGAATTTTATCTCCTTCCGACTAAAAAAACAGGGTCGTTTCTGCTTTATTACCATGCCCATTGGCACGAAAGGTTCAATTTGGTTCGGTTTGTAGAAGGAAGAACTAGCACTAGCCAGACTGAGGGCTCAAAGCGACGACCATCGTAGCACAAACCGATCCCCCAACTCGCGACCTGAAAAACAAATGTGAGGTAGCATGGTGGAATCAGGCTCTCGTCGATTTCGTTGCCTGTAGAGTTACTGGTATCATCTTAAAGCTTGTTCACTTTTCTTTATTTGGATGAAAAAAAATATCCATTTATCTTGAATACAATTCGAGATATTAAGAAGGAGGTGGGGGTTACCTGTTTTCAGAGGTAAAATTAGTGAGAAAATGGCCGCCAAAGATTAGTTATTTCCTTAGCTTAAGAGTCCGTGGTAACTGAAAACTTACATTTTTTGTGCCTTTAATCAACATTTTTCAGAAAAATCAACACGGAAATAAATTCTTTAATGGGCATGAAAGGTGTTGAGCCAAAAAACAAAAATGTGATAAAAATTCACAAACCTGCGGAAAAATCCAATCTCTTTGATTGTTTTGACGGGAGCCTGATTCCACCACGCTGCCTCACAAATACGTTTGCTTTCAAAGCTGTGGGTCTGACGATCCGTTTGTATCAGAGAACCGATCCGCCAATTTAGTAGACACGACACAATGCCAAATTCGATTAAAAATTCTCCCTGCTCTGGAGTCGAACTCGCGTCTTTTGCGCGTGATTACGAAGGACGTTACCGCTATACCACATACGGTGGTAAATAGCCTCTGAAGTAAAGATTCAAGATATTACAACAGAAAATATTATGACCAAATTTAAAGAAAAGACTTCGAAAAACTTAAGATAAAACAATGTAAACAAGTCTCGTTTTCACAAAGGTGTGCATGTGTGACAGTGTGTGTTGGGG